AACTACATAATGTTCTTGTTATAAATGCTTAATTATAAATAACAGTGATATTAATAACAACATTTATAGTCTGTATTGGAAAAAACAGAATGGTAAATTAAGTGCAGTGAAATATACTGTAGTTGAATTGTTTTTTTTTTTTTGTTTTTTTTTCATAGTTGGGTGTTGTTTACGTAAATCAGTTCTGTATTTACCTTGCCACATAAAAAAAAAGGAATTCTCCCATTTTTCATATTATTTAATACCTTTTGAAGCAGTGAGCTGCCGTGAGGACCCATTGCGGGGCAATAAGGGCGCCAGCACACTGCTGAACTGACTGCCCCATGAGTAAAAGAGCCACCTGCCAGGGCCACTGCCCGGACCATTGTTTGGACACACTTCCATCAATCTGACTTGGAGGATTGGAATGATGTCGAGTCCCACAACCTTACGGACCAAGGCAAATTTTAAAATTAAAAATTACACTTTTATATAATACAGGTGAAATTTAATGAAAAGATATCCCAACATCGTCTCTTAATACACAATGTTACACTAACTCGCGTATACGAAACAACACTTTAATAATAACACTTTACTTGCCAGTTACATGTAAAAAGTTATTCCATGCATGGTGGGTATCTACTAAGAAGGTAGGCTATTTACGTCACACTCAAAACACAGGCTGAAGTTTACGGAGACACCTATTCCAGCAGGAAGATTTAGTGCTAGGTGATAAACATGTGCGAAGAAAACTACTTCATGATGAATGCGCATTTTTCATGCATTTTCAACTGGCCTACCTTTATCCCGTACACCACCCGGTTGATAATTTACAGGTCCATCGTGGTACGTCATGCCCACTTTAGTCTTTATCTCCCCAGACACCACATAACGCACCCAGAGACCATTTCCTGAGGACTGCACGGGGGAGGGCAGCTTGCTTCCGCAGTACTTCCCAATCAGTGGAGCATGTTTGGTTAGACCGTTCCTCACTTCGACGAAGTCCTTGTTACATAATGGATCACTTTTGAAGAAATCAAAAGCTGTGAATTTAAGAGTCACTGTACCCTTTTCTTTTGTTGAGGTAACGTGCCATTGACAGTCTTTTTCACTGGGTGGGTTAGATTCGCCACTCATTTCCCTACCAGTTGTTTTGCATTTGGTAACAGAACTCGATGGTTCTGTAAATGGAAAAACAGAATAGACATATTCAGACATAAAATGGTATGGTTAAATTTGGCCTCACCAAGACACCCCTTCCTAAATTACTGTAAAAGAAACATTCATACGTGTAAGAAGACTGAAAGAGAGAGCACTGAGAGTAACAGCCTTATATTACACAGTCATGCTGTATAAGCAGACAATATTCACATTGTTGATTTCTCGCCTTTACGAACAATGAATTTAGTTATCAGAGTATAGAGAATATACACGCGTTCATTACCAGCTATCTTTTTTTCGTTATGAACTGCAGCTTAAAAGGAATACTATCAAAGTAGAATAGTATACAAGCGATTGTACCTTAGACGTTTATTGCAATGTTGAACTTTTTTACCAGTTCGGTAAGTGCAGATGGTCGTAAAAAGTTTTGCCTTTGCTTGAGTGAAGTGGTGTTGTATACTGAACACGTTATCAAAATTTACATTTAACCAAGCCGTAAATCGTAATAGTCAATCATGCATTGATATAAGCGTGCACCTAGCTTTATTCAGCCATGCATTTTTTACTACACCCCTTTATCCTAGGTGATTTCTGTTTATATAATACACGTTACGTGTTACTACTTTCGATGTGTAGATACACTTACCTGCCATACAACCATACAATTCTGTCCGCATGGAAACGAAGTTACGTTTCATCAAAGGCCAAAACCGGACAACGCTCGACTTGATGGCGCTGCGCAATTTGTGGGACACTACTGATTTTTTGTCTTTATTGCCGTTAAATATCTGCAGAAATAAGAAGATTTTCTTTACTAAATAGTCCTATGTAATGTGCTACGTTTAGACTTCATTCAAAATCACACTTACATGTAATACAGTGTATATTTTTTCTCGTGGGCGTTTCACAGAAGATAAAGAGATATCTGTCAATGACCTCACCAAATTGATCAAGCTTAAGGATAATTATCTAGCAAGATGAATGTACCTTTTGGTATTCAAATCTAGACATGAAAGTTATGAAACTCGGCACAAGGAGCCGCTAATTGCGCCCTAATAAACCGATTATTTTTTTATCATAATTATCATTGTCCCTATCATCAATATTACATAGCATTTCATTTGAAAAGATGTACTTCAGAGTGTGCCTATGAAAATGATCTTTTTTTTTTAAACAACGCCAAACAATTAAAGGCGGGGGACGTGGGGGCTTACGGTATTGTGGTACTAAGCTTTTTTTTTTGAAGCGACATTTCGGTAATTTTGATTTTAAAGTGTGGTACTGCGGTATCATTTAGCCATGAGGTATGCAACTTTTTCACCTTTTTGGCTAACGGTATTCGGTAAAAGAAGATCCTTCACGGTATTGCGGTACTGTTCAGTTCACTCTCCTGTCTAGGCAAATTCTGACAGTTACACAAATCCTGACCGTTAATCTATGATAAAATTGGTAGGGCATCGTTTTCAAGGTCTTCTCACGTTTCCTCGCAACGGCTGAGGTTGATTGCTGGTGCATAAATGCTTGAGATAAACAAACACGCGAGATGGAGACAACTTTAAGTAAGCGTTACAAATCATGAATGCGGTATCGGTATTTCGTCGATTTTTGACAAGGTTTTTCGGTATTTGCCAATTTTTCTTACGGTATTGGGTACCCCCAATGTCCCCCTCTTAAAGATGTCACATCCAACACTATAAGGTGCGTTTCCCTGACCCCAAACAATGTTAAAACAATTGAAAGAATGACATGTCATTATTTGAAACCTTACCAGCAGCTCTTACACTACTCACTAGGAGAATTTGAGGAGAGCGGGCGAGATTAGCCTGCAAGCTAGCTCTCCACTGATTTTTAAAATCCCACCTTTCACTGTTGGTTATTAATTAACGTGTGAAATTTACGGACAAAGCGCCGACACAAACATGGTTTTTGCATTTCAGAACAACTTCCATCTCACTTTACTCCGCATCAGATTCAAGAACAGAACAGGTGAGTTTCTATCTCTCATTCAATTTCCATGTGCAGTTTGAATAAGAGTGTGGGTTCCCTATGATTTATTTTAAGCCGGAAGTCCAATGAATGCTGGCTACATATAGTCGTGCCGTACATACCTAATAGCAACCTATAGATTAGGATTGGGGCCTCTTTGGTCGCCAGTAAAAAATCAAAGAGAATGAATAACAGAACAATAGACCTTTTTACGTCGGCCATATTGAATTAATTTGATTTAAGGGGTATTCTGGGATGCCCAGGGGGCATAAGCACGATTCGTTATACTCGCTTAGTATTAGAAGTATGGTCTTTCACTGTATATTTCGAGTATTTCACTGTATATTTCTCGGGAAAAAGGCGAGCATTATTACATCCAAACACGGCACAACGATCATTTTTCCCATTACAATCTTATTCTAGGAAAACTTTAAGAAAAAATGCCCCGAAAGGCATGTGTAAATACTAAGCGAATACATATGAATGTGCTCTTACCCTCTGGGCATCCCGTAATACTCCTTAAATCTAAGTAATTCAATATGGCCGCCGTATCGATAAAAAGGTCTATTGTGAACAGAAACCTATGACTTAAGATCACCTTGGTGTTCCAGTGGACAGCTAAGCTCCTAGACCGGCGAGGAACAGAATAATTGTACCAAATTCCCTCATCATTCTCCCAAGTGATTCGGTACTTTTTGACCCACTGATTGATATGTCCTCCAAAGCCCTGCGTGGCTATGCGCGTGATGATATAAGGGTTCTTCAGATTAACCTGAAGCCAAGGAGACCTGTCTTCTACAAGGCGAGGGTCTACAACGTGAAAGTGAAAAAGAAAAAAAAAACAGCAACAATAGCAACAGCAACAGTGAGAGAACGAGGATATTAAGTTACAAAGAGGATCTTTTTCTAATCGGATAGTAACGAGAAAGGATTATATGATGACTAAAGCTCCGCTTATCAATAAGCGATGACTGCATAACAGAAAGGCACTGTACGGATGTACTGCAGACAATTAGACTAATTAATTAACGGTTATCAGTACACTTCCTCTTTGCTCAATAACTAACTTAAATCGCATTAAAAACGACCTTTATTTGCGTCTAGTTGTTACAGAATTTTCTCAACCAAATCTGACAAATAAAACACTCAATATGTTTTGACGAGGAAAAGCTGATATGTGACGCCTATCATGAACTGGTCAGAGCTCATAATGGGAAGCTATTTGGCACTGATTATGTTTCTATATTGCTGCAAAGAATAGAGAAATTGGCTGTAGTCTTGAGAAGGGTTTACGGCATGTTCTTGTTACCTAGATGCGTTGCGCTGATTGAAACGGAAATAAACTGAAATTAGGAAAGTAATTATTTATGAAGGAATGATCCGGAAAGTATTAAAAGATCATTAATATGATTTGACTCTGCGCCTTTTTAAATGTCTGCTGAATTTTGATGAAGAGACGTGATTTGCCTTAATTTGTTACAGACGGTTATACACATTTCAGTGATCCTTTTTCAAAACGGAGAATTCAAATAGGTCATATTTACAAAGCCTGTAAATAAAGCTCTTAAGTTTCTTATACGTTGCACATTGCACGGTTTCTCTATGTTATCGCTTGAAAACAAATATGTTTTAATGTTATCTCTCTACTCCAATACTATTTGATAATATTACTGGCATCTTAGCAGTTATCTACGCTGCCCAACCAAAACGTGTTGGCAAACGAAAATACCATGAAAAAAAACTTGCCATTGCCAGTGTGGTCACATGCAAGCCAAGAGCAACACTTAAATAATATTAGACAACATATATCATGCAACTATCGACTGAAGGGATTTTATCTAGGTAATTAAAGGCTATTATTTCGCTTTAAGTTATCGCTGATAAGGTAAATTTTTAAGAAAGTAACTACCAAAGAGCATCACAACTAACAATGTTCTCCACTTACCCCAGACGCGTGATAAATAGACGGCTTGAGCTTGGGAAGAAATGAACTTAAGAATATTGGCTTTTGAGAATTGTAGAACCGACCAAGTTCGCTTCTTTGATTGAAATTTAGATGATGACAGGTACTTTTGATTACTTGGTCCTTTCCTGTATCCGGCTAAACAAGACTTCTGTTGACGCGAAGGAAACAAAATTACGCAAGAAACGGCGAAGTAAATTAGCCCGCAAAGGAGCCGCTAATACGTGTATCCGGTAACCTGTTAATCCCACTTCAATCCGGACCATAAAGCAGTGCAGTCGTGACAAATCGTGTATTCAAGATAAAGGCATGATTACAAACAAATTCATCGGGTGACTTTTGGCCTTGTAAATGGATCAAAATGCACCTTTATCGGGTGAGCGTAATCGATCAAAACGCAATGATCGTTATCTGTCGTGATTATCGATGGTGAGTAAATTTGAATCATGAACAATATCATTTATTGCTTGTTAGTTGTTCAATCTCTTGATCACGAATTCCTGGCGCATAAAAATAAGGATACACCACTATTTTTAACATGCACAATACTTTCTGCCTTTTCTGTTTTCAAACCGAAAGCACCTCAGTATCGTGCTATCCTGTATCAATTCTTCAGTCTAGGTGTTAGTACTCGATATGTGAGTCTTCCTCTTTTGTATCAATGTGAAGTAAATTCAAACTCTTTTTTCCAAACCGAATCCCGACCAATGATGGTCCTTGAAAGTTCCTGATGTGTGCAGGGAAACCGTAATAAAGAAGTTGAGTGATAAATAATCTACTCCAACATGTACAAAACATT